CGAGACTTTTAGGATAAATGCGTATGAATAGAATATGTACTTTTTGTAAGAAATCGGGTTTCAGTGACGTATTTTTGTAAAGAGTTTTTTTTTTGTTGAGAGTCAAATGTATTACTGGCAATATTTTAAAAAAAAATGTTTTCCTGATAATATTTTCAAAAATGTATTGCAGGTAATATTTTTTCAAAACTGTATTGCTGGTATTTTTACTATAAAAATCAATTCTTATACTGTCATAGTGTTTTGGTCTCATTTTCTGTTTGGGGTTAACTATTTGCCCATAGATGAGACCCTAACAGGTGCTCCTACCCCGAAAATATAATACGAATAATAGGAAACCATAATTCTCTCTCTCTCTCTCTCTCTCTCTATATATATATATATATATATATATATATGTGTGTGTGTGTGTGTGTGTGTACATAATTACTACATGCATACATACATATATATATATATATATATTTATATATATATATATATATATTTATATATATATATATATATATATATATATATATATATATATATATATATATATATATATAACAATAAAAAATATTAAAAAATAAAATCTTCAGACACTGGGTTTGTAGATTAATATTCTTTCGTTTTTTTATTATTATTTCATTAGATTCCTCGATTAGTTTCGGCCAAAATGGCCATCATCGGGAGAAGAAATATTTCTGCTTGCTGGTAGCAGTAAACTACAGAAATGAATGTCTTGCTGGAGAAAATGAACTTTTGTCTGTAGTTTTCATTTTTTTTTAATTTTTTTTCTCTTTTAACATGAATCTTTTAACATTCCTTGTGTTGGTCAAACAGTCTTTTTTAAGTTGTTATTTGAGATAAGAACTAGATGGATCTATGCTGCTCTGAATTCCCCTTGTCAGTTTGACAGTTTTATTGGCCCTGGAGAGAGGATGTGTCTCTATTAAGTGTGTGTGCGTGTGTGTGTGTATTATTTGGTTCTTAGGGAGTGAGTGAGTAGGATATGTGTAAGCATGTATATTACTGTGGGTGTGTGTTATCATTTGGCTCATTAGTGAGTGAGTGAGTATGATGTGTGTAAGTGTGTAAACACCTATATATATATATATATATATATATATATATATATATATATATATATATATATATATATATTATTTTTTAAATGTTTATATGCATTTAAAAATACTATCCCTGTTGTCAAGTTTCTTAAACACCGAAAGTTTTAACAACCGGCTTCGATTGAGTAGTAATATTAAAGTAATATTGCGCCTTCGACAGGAATCGAACCTGTACACTCTTTTCAATCAGGCAAACCGTTTCTATAGCCGAAAAGTGCCTTTACCGATTCAACCGTTGATGAATTTGCCTAGATTCTTTCAAAAATATTCTTTCAAAAAATTTTGAAACTACCTGCGTCTCTCGCTTCGTGTTCATGTGTACACGTAGCAATGTCATCAAAGCCAGTCCGATGAAATTGTAACGGATGAAACGCGTCACAAAATCTTTTCCAGTTTGTCTCGCTTTCTCCCCCCCCTCTCTCTCTCTCTCTCTATATATATATATATATATATATATATATATATAATACATAAAACATTAGGCAGCATATGATTTACATACAAAGAATAATCACACATAGAATTCATCAGAAGTATTAATGCGATTATTAGCGACATCCATCGCTAGAAAACAATATATGCATTAAAATCCTATTCATCCATAGTGCGAGTTTTGATCCTTGACGAAAAACTTGTTGTCTATGTGTGATTATTCTTTGTATGTAAATCATATGCTGCCTAATGTTTTATGTTTATTATAAACTATCGATCCGCAGTACATAAAAAATTCCTATAAAAAAATCTACTACTAAGACATTACACTATATTATTGAACTATATACTTAGTTCATGACATAAAAACTGAATACACTTGTAAAAATAGAATACGTGGATTTAACAAATCACAAGAAATATTTAAATAAAATTCTCACTTAAAAATTTTGAAAAACTTAGCGTTGCGTCTTTTGCACGTTCGAGATCTTACACAACCGTCAATAATAGCAGATATTCAAAAAACATCTTTCGGTCGAACATACAAGTATATCGTCTCAAGTTTTGATTTTATAAGGAAAAAAACACATGCCTGATGATGGATAGAAGTCTATCCGTAAGTACTAGCATTTTAACATCAAATAAACTGAAAAACTACAGACAACAAGTTTTTTCGTCAAGGATCAAAACTCGCACTATGGATGAACAGGATTTTAATGCATATATTATTTTTCTAGCGATGGATGTCGCCAATAATCGCATTAATACTTCTGATGAATTCTATGATTATTCTTTATATATATATATATATATATATATATATATATATATATATATATATATATATATATATCATACTTATTATAAAACACAGATTGTGTGTGTGTGTGTGTGTGTGCGTGTCTGTACGTTTATATATTGGATCGGATTTCCTACATTTTCCAACCGATTTCAACAAAACTTCACAGGACTACGTAAAATTACCTTGCGGTGGTTCAGACAGCGCCAAAAAATTGGAAAAAACACAATTGTTTTTTTGCAAAATCAATTTGAAAACACCATTAAGAGACATCACAATGAAAGGGGGGACAACTTATATCGAGGTAATTAAAACCCAGGTTGTTTGTGTGTGTGTGTGTTCGTTTGTATATGGGATCGGATTTCCTACATTTTTTCAATCGATTTCAACAAAACTTCACTTTTTTTTGCAGGTAGTGTTTCTTATTGTCTTGCACACTTTTTCTTTATTTTTACATTCAGAATGCTTTAAAATTCCATTTACAAGACAATTGTTTATAATAAAATTCTATTCAATCAGTAGACTCATAACGATTGAAAACAATGTTTTTGTTTGAGTTTGGGTTTGACCAATTCGTAACAAAAAAAAAACAACAAAAAACAAAACAAAAAACTAATTAAGACATGTGTGTCCGTCAACCTTAAACAATAACCTTTGTCAATTTTATTTTTCAGTCTTTATGATGGTCGATACTTGATCTATCTCTTACTGTTACATCCCCGGGAAACACCGGGCTCTACTGCTAGTATATATATATATATATATATATATATATATATATATATATATATATATATGGGACGTTTCATTGATTACAAAAGACAAAGTGCTTTTATTTAGTCTTCTATAAAATTTCTCATGCGGTCTAATAATTTGTTTTCTTTTCAGATGATAAATTATATAAAACTGTCCGGATGTTCTTTTTATCCGCGCGCTTTCGGCTATACATTTAGCTATTTTCAAGGATTAAATATTTTAACTGTTAAATAAGAAATAGTTTGTTGCATGTATTTATTTATATAGTGTTTTCATTTTTCACTCTCCACCTTTCTGACCATAGCTCAATTAGGTCTCATTTAAATATTCGTGGAGACCTATCCGGACACTATGCTTAACATATTTGTTGACAACACATATAATAGCATCATCTGCATGCAAAAAAGGCTAAAAAAAATGGAAGGCGTATTAATAAAGAAAAAAAAAAACACTTAATAATATTAACTATAAACATGGACACAATATCTTGACCGTGTATTGAAAAATTATTAGATCGCATGAGAAATTGTATAAAAAACTAAATAAAAGACCCTTGTCTGTCGTATTCAATGAAATGTGCATGAAAGAAGGATTGCTGCCTAAACAAACGCACACACACACACACACACACACACACACACACACACACACACATATATATATATATATATGAATATAAATAATTTTAGGATATTACATCGAAAACCTATCAAAATCGTTACACAGTTGCTTTCGATGCGTATGAATGCATCTCATTTAGATCTAAAAGCAAAATACAACCTCTTTTTACGAAGAAACCTAAAAAAATAGTTCACTCGCCAGAAATTTACAATCGCCTGATGAGATGCATCGAAACACGACTGCCATTGTATAGCGATTTGGACAGGTTTTCGATGCAATATCCTGATATAGATAATATTGCTCTACTTTGTATTGAGCCTTCTTTTAGATTAAATGTTACGGACGTTGGATCTGTATTCTATTGGTTCTAATCTTACACACACACACACACACACACACACACACACATATATATATATATATATATATATATATATATATATATATATATATTACTGCTGCTGATGCATGACTCTTCGTAAAGATCATCGATGATGGAATTTTTTCTTTTTAATTTTTTCTTTTTAATCCAGCTGATTTCATTTAGTTTTTTTCTGTTTCCACAAGAAAATGTATCTACGTAAAATCGGCTAGATTTAAAAAAAAAAAAAGATTAAATTTTCATCATCCTTGGTTTGTACGCATGCGTAATTGCACAAAAATGACAAATTTAATCCGATGAAGACCTAAAAAACTAGACAGTTCATAAGAATCTTTTTCCCATTTTGCCAAAACATTTTCCCAATATTGTTCTTGATATATAAAAAAAATACATATCGTTATCTCACACACACACACACACATATATATGTGAGTGTGTGTGTTTGTGTAAGTGTGTTTGTAAGTGTGTGTGTGTGCGCGCATGTTTCAGTACCTGTGTAATTTATAATGATTGACTGGTTGATTATCAGCCCTTTGCAGATTATTTAACGCGAGTAAATATTTTTAGATTGTAAAAATCTTTTGGGGGAGACAATAATGGTCCACTTATACAAGTCTTACTAAGTTGAGCGGGGAGAGGTGGATTCATATCTTTCCAAAGTGTATTTCTGCGTAATTGAATATAACGAACCCAAAGGGAAATTGGAACTCGTCCCTCTGATTAAAAATTCCGAGCCATTATCTATTACACCACCCGCACATCCAAGCTTACAGCACCTGGTATTCGAAAGCGGTCACCTATCTAGGTAGTAACCAGGATCGACGTTCGTTAACTTCGAGATGGTACGAGAACCGGTGACACACGGCCATAAGCCCTTTTCACCACCCACACATCCAAGCTTACAGCACCTGGTATTCCAAAGCAATCACCCATCTTGGTAGTGACCTAGCTCAACGTTGCTTAACTTTGGTGATCTTACGAGAACCGGTGACACACGGCCATAAAACCTTTGCGCAATCCGTACATCCAAGCTTACAGCACCTGGTATTCGAAAGCGATCACCCATCTAGGTAGTGACCAGACCTAGCCGTTGCTTAACTCCGGTCATCGTACGGGAATTGGTGTCTCAACGTGATGCAGTGTAATATGTAATAAGGGAGATTAAAGAGACTTTTCTCTGAAGAGAAAAGAAATAAAAAGAGAAAAGATTGAATGAATAAAAGATTAAAAAACTATAAAAAAAGAAGAAGTAAATAACATTAAATAGGGATGCTCAGTAACGTTTAGAAACATCCATCTGCAGAATTGACATATACCTTCAATCTGTCGTTTCTATAGAATTTTTAAGGAAGGATACATATCGAAGAGTTATTATATAATTTCTTTCAAACAAAATATTCTATTTTGATTGCTGGTTCTTTTGTAGGATATTCCGTTTGCCTATTTTTCTGTGTTCTGTCTATAATAATGTCATATTACGTTTTCTTCCTTAGAATGAATGTCAGCAAACATCCTTATAAAGTATAAGAAATGGAAGAAGTGAACTTTGAATGAAAATGCGACTATGAAAGAAACACAGATTAAGTCCGACGAAAAATAAAGACTAAAAAAGAACGAAAAATTTGAAAGATAAAAACAGTAAGTAAACATTTAATTCAAAGAATGAGAGAAATACTGATTGTGAACGTACAAGACATTTTTGATCGTGCAAGATCGGAAAGGATGAAGAAAAGGGAAAACAACAAATGAAATAAGCAATCATATATTAAGAAAGAACAAAGAACAAATGAAAACGAAAGAAATTTTGGATTTCTTGCAGAAGTCGAATGAAAGAAGAAAATTATAATGTAAATGAAAAAAAAAATCGGATAAAAAGGAGATAAATAAATCTGCAGAAACTGTAGAAAAAAAACACGAACAGATTCAAAGAAGGAATAAATGAGAAACGAACGCACAAAAGAAAAAAGAAAGATGAATTTTAAAATTCACCAAGAAAATGGAATACAAAACGATCAACGGATGGAAACAATTTCGATAAACAAAAGAATAACAGGACAAATAAAACAAAGAATTCAAAAACCTTGGCAAAATATTGTCTCCATGTTCATAATGGTAATTAAGTCTTGTGGAGAGACAAGTAGACGTCACATGTCTTACAGAGATAAAACAAAGCTTTCCGACGCTATCGATCCATTGTGGTCGTGAGCGGCCGAGACGGGAGCTTCTTGGGCGCATCAAGAAATCTTCCACATAAAACCAATTAGAGATGGTGAGTCCGTTTTATCCAAGAGGCATAAAGAGATTCTGATTATTCTCCTTCAGTGTAATGAATCGACCGGTAAGGTTAGCCTGGTTAATCAGGGCTTCAGCTTTGCTTTCGTACTCTGATCAGAGCCACGAACAGACCCATGGGGACCGTCAGAATGAAGGCTGGGGTTTTGTGGGAAAGATGGAGGCGGGTATAAAGCAAGGGAAAGTCAGATTTGTAGTTTGGAGGAAATGAAGAAGGGGAATTAGAAACGAATTTGGCAAGAAGGAAAGAAATGGATAAGTTTAATTCAAGTGATTGGAAGTCGACGAAGGAAGACTTGAGGAAGGTTGAATATTTGGAAGGTGGTTGTTCTGAAATGAAGAGAAGGAGACGATCGGGTGAGAGGAAGAAGAAAACAGCGAAGGAATGAGACATTCTGAAACAGAATATATGGATAAGAATCCAGATGAAGAGATAAACAATTAAAGGAACGTAAGAACACGGACGAAATATAGGAACATTAGAACATAACTAAAGAGTGATGTCAGGGAATAAATAAAAAGAGAAATATTGTAGAAGAAGGAAGCTGAAAAGGTAGGAGTTAACGCTAAAAGAGTACATCTATATTGTAAAATGGCGAGGAAAAGAGAGAGAGAGTTGAAGAGCGTTTATTAAAATGTTGAAATTGAGAAGAAACGGAGTAGCAAGGAAAACGAATAAAAAAAAAGAATTATTTCTAGTATCGCTGGGAGGTTTCTTCCTAACTTTTTGTTTGAAGTAGTGTGGAACGTCAATATCCGGGTGAAAGAAAATTTGACAGAGTGGAATATATTAGAGTTGAGTTCAACTTGTGGTATTTAATATCATGTTGACTATGGAGAAGTGTTGAGGATATAAATTGTACAGAATTTGTGGAGGAAATAAAAGTTTGATTTGGTTTGGTTTGTTCTACCATATGTCAACCCCAATGGTTTATTTAATGCCGACAAGATTTTTATTGCTGGTAATATATTTGTTTAAAAAATGTATTGCTGCTAATAATTTTTTTTCCAAAAATGTATTGCTCGTAATATTTTTTTTTTCAAAAATATATTGCTGGTAATAAGATTTTTCTTCAAAAATGCATTGCTGGTAATAAACTTTTACAAAAATGTATTGCTGATATTAAAACCTATTTTTACACATTCATATTGTTTTGACCCTAGCTTGGGGGGTCAACTATTTTCCCACTAACAGTTGCTACCACCCCGGGTAAAAATGTGAACTTGCGATCACCATCATTATCGTAGAGTAAGAGATTCAAAATATTTCAAATTATACAATACAGATCAAAATGTACTGAAGATGATTGAGAAATAACACTGATTTGCAGAGTGTCTTCAAGTCGAAACCCTCTGGTGATGATGACTTATGGACAGCTAGGTAGTAGGTGATTTTACAATTTTGTTCTGAAAACGTTTCATTCAGTATGATGAATTAGTATTAAATTTAATATGAACTTCCGTACACAAAATCTACCATGGACTTTGTAAAAAACGCAAAATATTGTTTTTTTTTAATAATGTTCATACAAACAAGGTCCAAGCGCCACTCAAGGTATAAAACTATTGCCTGGAGTTATATTAGCGATAGGAAAGGACAAACTTTAGGAGTATAGAATTGAAGAAAACTTTTAGAAGGAGCTAATCTAAACCTAATTAGGAATCCTAAACAGGAAACAAAGGATAAACCTCTAATCCTAAACAGAAACACCTAAACAGGAAACAAGGGATAAACCGCTAATCCTAAACAGGAAACAAGGGATAAACTGCTAAACCTAAACAGGAAATCCTGAACAGGAAACAAGGGATATACCGCTAATCCTAAACAGGAAATCCTAAACAGGAAACAATGGATAAACCGCTAATCCTAAACAGGAAATCCTAAACAGGAAACAATGGATAAACCGCTAATCCTAAACAGAAAATCATTAAACAGGAAACAAGGGATAAACCGCTAATCCTAAACGGGAAATAAGGGATAACCCTTTAATCCTAAACAGAAAATCCTAAACAGGAAACAAGGGAGAAACCTCTACTCTTGTTCAAAAGACCAGTAGGAGTGTGAACCAGACGATAGGCGAATCTATCTACTCCTATTGCTAGAAGGGAAAAAAATAAAATGAAATAAAGGATAAAATTTCATAGTTCAGGCGCAGAGTACAGTATAGGAATACAGGGCTGAAGTAGACTTTAGAAAAAATCCATCTTAGAAATCTAAGAAGCAGCCTAACATATCCTCCAAATAGTATTAAAGCTGAAATGTAGTTTTTATCTGGATTAATTTTGTAGTCGAGTATAGTGCAACAGGTGGAAAGAGAAAATATAGAATTTAAAATAGATGTGCATGGCAGGTGAAGGCGAATGAAGATTGGCAAAGGATAATGCTTAGCATATTGGCGGTTGACTGTTGAGCAGAATGGTCCATTAATTGGTACATATTGATAAAAGAAACATGGAAATTGAAACAAGTTCAGATTTTGCGACACTGACGCAAGCAGAATTGAGTGTTGAATAAAATGGAAGTATTTAATGTGTACCAAAAAAGGTGTGTCTTTGTATCCGAGTTCTTGAGAGAAACAGAGAGAGAGAGAAATAAGCTGTGAGGGAGATAGAGAAACAGGACGAGACAATCAGAAGGATAGAGAGAAGCAGAGAGAGAAGCAGAGAGAGAGAGAAACACACAGAGAAACAGAGAGAGAAACAGAGAGAGATAGAGAGAGAAGCAGAATGAGAGAGAAACAGAGAGAAACAGAGAGAGGAACGGGGAGAGAGAGAAATAAACAAAGAGAGAGAGAGAGAAGTACAAAGAGATAAACAGAGAGAGAGAGTGAAGCAGAGAGAGAGAGAAACAGAGAGAGAAGCAGAGTGTGAGAGAGAAGCAACGAGAGAAAGAGTGATACAGAGAGAAATAGAGAGATACAGAAAGAGAGGAAAAGTGAGAGAGAAACAGACAGAGATAGAGAGATACACAGAGAGACATAAAGAGATACAGAGAGAGAGAGAGAGAGAGAGAGCGAAAACGGAGAGCGGAAAACCAGAGAGAGAGAGAGAAGGAGAGAGAAAGTAAGAAAGAGAGCATGAAGAAAAGAGGAAAGAACACAGGAAAATGATTATTTACTTCCATAATTGTCATCTGTAAGGGAGACATGGACTTGTTGGACAATTTTTCACTTACATGTTTGTAAATTCCTATAAAATCAATTCCTATAAAATTCCTATAAAATCCATTCATTAAAACGGAAATATGAATAAAAATTAAAATGGAAATTAGACTTTTTGGTTGGGTCGTTTAAATCTAAAATCTTGTATTATAAACATTTGTGCCAACCTCATTCACTAGAAAATAAAATTACAACAATATCAAACCTTAGCGAAAATATCTGCCATTGTTTCTGACCTGAACAAAGAGCATGAGAAAAGCCAGATACGTAATCAGGTGGGTGAGCAGTTTTTCCACGAAGTGGAGGTGTCGCTCCCATATTTATTTACGTGCATCTCTGGGATGACATCATGTCGACTTAATACTAGTTTGGCTGAGTGAGTGTGTGAACTGTTTGTTACAGTCGATTGGAGCAACATCGATGTCGGTGAATATTTTAAGATTTTAAAAACAATCCTTGAGACTTCGAATACCTTTGCAAAATTATAGCCAGCACCTCTTTGCATTTAAAGGGAGTTCATATATTGTCATTAAGTTGACTGTTTTATTTTTCTTGCATGTTCCTTTTGAAGCAGGTACCAATTTTTTTCACTAGCCAAAGACAATTCTGTGTTTGCATCTTATGGAAAGAGCGAGGAGAGAAAGAAAGAAGAACCGTTTTTTTTTTCTTTCTATAAGTCAAGCGTTTTAACGCCAAGTTAAGACACGTGGTTGTCAGATTGAATGAGAAAAGATTTTTCCTTTGGGAAACGCAGATTTCACAAAATGTTCGCTGAATTCTAAAATAGGCTGAAACGAGAGCGGGGGAAAGAAATATTTATTTTCTCAATTGCATTTCTCTTTATTATTTGGCATTGTTATATCCGTTATATAACAATACCATAGTTCATGGAAAGAAAGGAATAGCTGAATGAAGAAAAAATGAATAATAAACATGCTTTGTTCTCGGGGAGGTTTATAATGCTACGCCGTACATAAAATTAGATATATACACATATACATGTGTCTCACACAGAGAAATTACAACATATGCAACAACAAACGGTATGTAAGAAAGGGGAATCATACTTGTACTATTTCCCGAAGGGAAAACTGGATTTACGGTGGTTTCTCTACGAACCAGGTTAGGCTATGCGTTTTTTTTTCTGTTAGTCCTACCGTTGTGGGCTAGGGGAGGGGTCTTCTTGGGATCTATATCAAAACTGCCTTCGTCAATCTATCTCCTGACGTCATTCACCGGCCGTCATTCACCGGCCGTCACGTGATTCTCGTGTCTGTCTGTATAAAAAGGAGAGAATCGACATTTGTAACTCATCAGGGCTATTCATCCATTCAGATGAACTATTTCCACCAATACAACCATCTTGTCCCATCACCTTCTTCTTGAAGTACATTCAGGGAAACACCATCATGTCTGGAACATAAGTACCGATTGCTCATACAGAAGTACGTAATAATTCCGCTCACTAGGCATGATTTCTTTCATTGCCACATTTCTTGTTTTTTTTTTAACCCTTGTTAGAGCGATTTAATTACAGTTCGATATATCATTTGGTTCAACTTATTGTGATTAATGATCGTGCAATATTGATTGGGTTTTAAGCTGTAACTGAAGCGAAACTTATAGTTTCAGGCGCGTGTATGCATAATTTTGGATGACGTTTCAGGAACGAAGCAGACTGGTCTGAATTTGCGCGTTCATTTTTTCCCCCACAGTGATTTCATTATTATTTGAGAAATGTTCTTTTAGACAATCTTGATAAACTGGTAAAAATATTTAAAAAAATTCTATTCCCCCGCCCACATTTAATTTTAAAGAATTTCGAAAAATTAAATTGTGACCGCTTATAATGTTTATATTTGTTAAAAGCAGGACCCCTTGGAGAATTTAAAACATCAAGAAACACCAGTTACCGAAAATCTCCTGTGAATCTTAAAATAAAAATTCCAATCAAGCTAAGACATTATTTAATTAGAAAACTTTTAATTGCTTTTATGAATAAGATATCTTAAGGACACTATTGTCTTAAGAAAAAAAAACAATTCGATGTTTTTTTACAAGAATTGTTTTCATTTTCTTTTTTAAATTTTAATTAGAATAATTTATTAAGATTCAAATATTTTAATTTCTGCATTACGTTGACTGCATTAGGTGATATTGTCTTTATATAAAAACTAGGATAATCATAAATGAAAAAGATTAGTACAACTCATCAGATATAAATATTTTTTAAAAAAAATTAAAATTTTTTTGTATATCTATACATACAAAAAAAATCAAAATTCTTCAAACATGCCGATTTTGGTAAATACGGGTGCTCATACACGAGTTTATCTGAAAATAAGAGCAATAACTACAGTAAATTTAAAACCAAAGTACGTAAGAATTATATAAAAAGCCGCTCACGTTATATTCTTCAAATGTTTTTACAGATATATTCACCGTAAAAAACATTAGCTAAATATCCACCTGTCATCAAGCTGTCAACATGTTAACACCTTAAATAAACAGTTACCGCTGTGTTTAAAAATGCATTTCTTCGATCTTTTAAACTTAAAGTAAATAATATTTGTGCCAGCTCAGACCGATTATGCTTTAAATCAATTAACAGTCCTCAAATAAAGTTTCAGAAAAGTCTATTTTATTTTTGTAAAAAAATTTTAATAAAGGGAATAACATTGCAATGAACTAGCACAAAAATGGCGCTGATATCAGTTTTTTAGAAAAAAAAAAAAAACTCCTTCCAGTCAATTTAAATTAGTTTTGATATCGAGCAACCGGTTTTGCTTATTGGATATATTAAATATATTCATTAGCTTAAAATTAAAACCAAAATAAAAGCTTCAAGAAAGAGTTTTGTTTTAATAAAATCCATTTAAAACCTTATATGCTTGTGCAAATTAATTGAAACAAAACGAATAATTCCGTTAATTACTTTTTTTCGTACCAATAAAACATGACCCAGTACACATGTTAGTACTTCGATTCTCGATTGGATTTAAATCAAGAGAGCTTCTGTGCCAGTCTATAGCACTTTGATTTGCTCACTGGTAACGCTTGCCAGTGTGTTCGTGCAGCGTTACAATTTTCGCACGCTTCCTTGGAGTAACGTCCATCACAAGCAATGTCCGTGTGACAACTAATCGACAGTCGAGATAATAGTGTATGGGCGTGATAAAAATCTGATGACACAACATTTTTCAAGGCCAAACAAATTTCATCATACATCCGAAAATAGATTACTGCACACCACTGCAAATGAGAAAAAAAAAATAAGAATGGATTTCACCCTGTCACTCCATTGGCTTTAAAACTGACCGTATGTTGAAAGAAAGGAAACTAAAGCTATTGTTTCAAGTAATTTGCACAAGGGTGTAGTTAATGACCAGTTTCGACGTTGCTTGACTATTATTTTGTAGTAAGACTCAGTCAGTTATGTGCTATGCTTGATAAACGCTTAGGCGATCATGTATCTTTCGATACATGACAGACGAGGCAGATTTTTCCCGCACTAGGTTGCCATTTATTTCTGCGGTAGACCAAGCTATAGAACCCGGTCTTTCCTGCTATTTTCTCATAGCTGGGTAGAGAAGAAGAGGATTCATACCTTTCCAAAGAGTATTTTTCCGTAAGTCAATGTAATGGGTTCGACTGGAATTCGAATTCAGATCTCTGATTCCTCAATTCGAGCCGGTATTACTCTACCGAGCTTCCCAGTAACAAGACTGCTAATACTTAATAAAAAATTAGATAGATAGATAGATAGATAGATAGATAGATAGATAGATAGATATGAGAAAATTGAGATAGATAGATATGAGAAAATTGAGATAGACAGACAGATAGATAGATAGATAGATAGATATGAGAAAATTGAGATAGATAGATAGACAGACAGACAGACAGATAGATAGATAGATAGATAGATAGATATGATAAAATTGAGATAGATAGATAGATAGATAGATATGATAAAATTGAGATAGATAGATAGATAGATAGATAGACAGACAGATAGATAGATATGAGAAAATTGAGATAGATAGATAGATAAATAGATAGATAGATGGATGATGAATAGATGAATAGATATGATATGAAAATTGAGATAGATAGATAGATAAATAGATGGATGATAGATAGATAGATAGATTGATAGATAGATAGATAAATAGATAGATAGATGGATGGATGAGATAGATAGATAGAAAATTGAGATAGATAGATAGATAAATAGATAGATAGATAGATAGATAGATAGATAGATGAGAAAATTGAGATAGATAGATAGACAGACAGACAGACAGATAGATAGATAGATAGATATGAGAAAATTGAGATAGATAGATAGATAGATAAATAGATAGATAGATAGATAGATAGATAGATAGATAGATAGATATGAGAAAATTGAGATAGATAGATAGATAGATAGATAGATAGATAGATAGATAGATAGGGAAAATGCGCGAGAGAGAAAGCTAGAGAGTTAAAGAGGGTAACGGAAAGAAAGAGGGCAAAAGAAAATGAAGAATAGACGTGTGCTGATAATTTCATAAACTTTTTCAATGTATCAAAGATCAATAAGAAATTCATCGTCTGAAGAAGTAAAACAAAGAAAATAAAAAAAACAATAAAACACGAAACAAAAAAAATTTCTCAAATGTGAAAATCATGCATGCAAACAGCCGAAAGAAACTGAGACAGGTATTTTTATAACAAAGCCTAGCAAGTATACACGCAGTCCTTTCGAAAATTGTTCATTGTTTATTCTAAATTAGAAGACACCCCTGTGAACATGGACCCATAAGTACGCATACAAACATGCATATAAAATACATTCTTGATGTCATTTTCTAACAAACAGAAAATTGCCACTTGTTTAAATTTTACTACCATATTTTGTTTAAGTAAATCATATTGTCTCGAATATGTTTCTTGGGTCAAGATAAATCAGAATGTGAATAAATTCGAGTTGATTAATAAG